CTAGTGGCCGGCTCGCTAAGTCGTGAACTCCTTTGAAGTCGCTTCAACCCTTTGATGGCTGTGTTGATCTAGTGTTGATGTGATGTCGGAGAGTGAAAACACAGCCCCCCTGGGTTGACCGTCATATCTTGACCATCACCAACAAGGTGACCCTTGCAAAATGGTTAGATTGGGCGCTTCTACCAACAAATAGCGGCTGGCAGTAGGGTCTTTGATTGGCGACTTCCACATTGACTTCCTGATGCGGATTGCCGTTGTCGACAGGGATTTGATTGGTGACTTCCAGATTGACTTCCTAATTTGAAGCATGGCTCCTGGCAGAAGGTGGGGTATTGATTTGGGTTGTCAATTTGGAAATGAGGCATTTTTCTTCCACGCCCCCTGCTTAGACAACCACCTCAAACATCCACGCAATGCTATAAAATGAGCGGCTCATCAATCCACCGGGGCTGCGGGAACCCATCCGTGGGATCCTTTAGTAAGTTTGATCCCAAGCTGGCCCCTGGCCATGACCGTGCCCGTCAACGCACCCATGAAGCTACCTGGGTCAAACTTGCCGAGGCTGTGCCAAAGGACGAGGAAGACTGGCGCTTAGCGAGACACAGTCATGCCTTCAGCAATCCGGTGGAGATGGTGAAGACATTAGAAGATCTCCTTGATGGTAGAAAGAAGTCTCAGCTTTACAAGACTGTCTACCTAGCAAGTCGCTACGCGATCCTTCGTGGCGATTCCTCCCAGAAGAAAACTGTATACTCTGACCTCCGAAAGTGCCTGGACAATCCCGATCTTAAAGACTATGTGTTGGACAAATACATGGACTCAGTAGTGAAGCTCGTCAAAGCCCTCGATGACTTATTTTTGAAGGGTCTCTTGCACCGCGCTTTTGAGCTTGTCCTTTACAGTAAGTTTTGTTCTTTATTGCTTTCATGTTAAATACGAGAAGAAAGCCAGCAGAAAACGGAGACACTTTTTATTACTCTCTTCCTAACAATGCACGACTTAGTACCGATCCAAATATCACACCTGCGTCTTTACGGACCCAACCAAGAACAATTTGTTACTTACTTTTCAATCCAGAAGCCTCCCGTCGAAATTCAAGGATCTCTGCTGCTTTCCATTCCCTTCCTGGTCCACCGTTTGTTCCCCGAACTCAGGTAGGATCTACATAGCATGTTTATTTCAATGACCAACAATTCTCCACAGCCTTACCAGCATCCAGAATGCTTTCGGCACCACGATTCACAGTCCGGCTGAATATTGCATCTTCGAGAGTGCAATTCGAGGCCGAAATGTGCTTCCTCGCCTTCCGTTACGGCCCATTGAGGTCTTTGGAATACCCCATAGTCTGCTATCGGCCACATCAAAACTGTCGACAGAACTTCGCGGGTATAACCCCATGCCACCGCATGTTCCATCGAACACTGATATGTATTGCTACCAATGGCCAGACGACAAAGATCGTCTAACAGGTGTATTGTGGGAAATCTTGGTAAGATCTATTTGTCTTTCCCTCTGATAATCTACTCATCTATCAGACCAGCCAAAACCTTCTTAGAGAAGGGGAACATCGTCTCAGTAAACAATATGCTATACATCACGACAAAGGACATCTCCCCACACCGGATAACCACGTCCAGGTTCTTATACCTGTAGTCGACTCAACTGATGCTGTATCCCATGTCTCACTGGATCTCGTTGTGCATGGTAGAAAATGGAGTCATCGTTGGGAAGCTGGGCAGTGGATCCTCATGAAGCCGGGCACACTTTTCCTACCGGAACAACCTGTCAGTTACTTAGCTTTGTTGTTCTGGATGTCAAGCACCGATCTTGTTCACAAAACAGTAGTCGGGCCATGATTGGGGTCAATGCTACCCAGAAAAGGTTAATCTCGATAGTTCGCAATGCCTTAGCACCGTAA